GAGCTCCGTCCTTGCAAGGTTTGGGTGGATTTGACAGAGCAATTCACACCACATGCTGTTGATCTTGCCTAACTCTCCTAATTAGATACAAGGTATAACAACACGATATTTTAACTTGTAAACTATGTAATTCTTGACAGTTCGAATTGATTAAAGACCAGAAAAATTGAATTTTTACTTTTTTGAAATTATCAACAGATTATGTAATTCAACACTTGTCCCCTTTGTTTCCCATGTGTTTGGTTTCACTTTTTCTTCGAAAGGACCTCAATTTATTCATCGTGATTTAATGAAATCATGCACTGCACATTTTCATGGTCATGTTAGAATGTGATACCATTTCTATTATTACATTTTTGTTTGAGGCATATGTTTTGCTTCAGATATAATGGCATCAAAGTTGCAGCAATTGCAAGCAAAGGCCGGCCAAGCCTCACAGTTTGTCGCCAAGCATGGAACTTCCTACTATAAACAGTTGTTGGAGCAGAACAAGCAATATATCCAAGAGCCACCTACTGTGGAGAAATGTAATGAATTGGCCAAGCAGCTGTTTTACACTCGTCTTGCCAGGTTAATTTATTTGAACTTATGCTGTATACTATTCAGAATTGAGACGAATTCTGGGATAGTGTTTCTTTTTTTTAACTTGGACTTTGAACTCCTGTATTTTATTCAGTTATTCCATGTCACTCTTCTACCTTGTTCACTGGATAAGTATGGAATATTCTATCAGTTTCTTATCTATTTATGGTTGCAGTATCATAGAACAGCTGTTTTATTTTAACACTGGTGATATAATATCTAAATGTCCTATGTTTCAATCGAGTTGCAAATAAAAGGAGAATACTTTCATATTTAAATAATGAATGTTTATCAGTATCAACTGTTGATTAACAAATATTGAAGCAACTGGACTAATTTTCTTATGGTTCATGTGTAGTTTCTAAATCTCCATGTGCTATGTCTATAGATGCAGTCTAGGAAGGTTGACTTGCTTTTTGTAGATAGCATGGGGGTCTGGAATAAGTTTCTGGGTAGAATAAATTTCTATAATTTTCAAAATGGCCAATTTTCACTACATCTAAAGATGAAGAGTCCTAAGTTCCGGAAATACTCCATATTTTCTTATAACCACGTTGTATTGTTCTTTTTCTTTTGATTTTCATGGTTAAAATATTCNGCCTTGATGTACTGAGACTTATGCCTTGGTCTGATTATAATTTTTATTTTGTTGTGTGCTCTTAGTTAAAGTATATTCCAAGTATGTTCCTAAATATTGGATTCAATTTCTTTGCTCCTTCTGGTATGTTCTTTCATATGGATGGTCTACATCCGTAGTCTTTTGCCAACTTGGTCGATTTTATTAGAAATCATTGAAGCACACTAAGAAGAAATTGGCTGCAAAAGTCAAATGTGCTCTTTGGCTGGTCCACTGGAATATGTCAGGTACCTTTTCTGACAAAGAATCCATGAAAGCGATTAAATTGCCACAAGAACAAATTCTGCCTACCCTCCTCCTGTCCATTTTTCTTAAAGCTTGTGTTGGCACAAACTTTTTATTTCGTTTCTCCCCAAAATCATTTTCAATCACACGTTTTATATGACCCACAACTTTTCCCCACTTTTTAATGACAAATTCTCAACAAAAAATAAAAAAATAAAAATAAATCAATAAATAAATTCCCTTGGAAAAATTTCTGCCAAACAAGCTTTTAATGATATGTTAACAGGACATCGAAAATGTTGCCATGGGTTATGATCATTTAGGTGTTCATTTTGGCTGGAGTGGTGGCAAATAATTGGTACAATGTTTTGGAGTTAATAGTTTGGAATTTTGGAACTTCTATAAATTACTTTTGGCATACAAGTCATCGACTTTGTCATGGGAGGGATAGTATCATCATGTTTGTCTCTCACATCTACAATATTATTGCATTGATATTAAAATCATGTCTTGCTTGAATGATATTTTAATAATTAGCAGACTTACACGTGTTGGTTCTTGTGGTGGTGGGATAGGAATAAAGAACTTGTCAGATATCAGAAAAATTAAAGATCAATGGGAGCCCTCTCTGGCTCTTTAATGCTTTCGTTTGATTGCAGCAGGAGAGCCCCTTTTCTTTCTCAAAGTCCAATCCGTGGTTTATCGTCTGTGTTTATTGACAAATGGGATAGGGGCGCTCCTATTCTTTCTCTAAATCCAACCAGTGATGTGTTGTCAAATGGGAAAAAGAAAAATGTTGTATATTTGCAGATGGAATACATTCAAGGGTGACATGAGCTTGAAGTCCAAAAAGGCTTCTTCCTTTTTTGTATTGAAGAACATTGAGGAAGTTGTGGTCATTTTCTTTGTTTGTGATGACTGTTCCTGAACACTGGATGTCCTCTGCTTGATGATGCATTCGCTCGCTCTCTATCTCTTGTCTTCTAACAACTGATGCACAGCTGTTTCTTTCTCCTCCTTGAGTGGGTGGGGTCTGTATCTGCATTATATGGAATTGAAGTTGCTACTGTATGGTGACAAGTGAGGAACTGAGTGATTCAGTGTTCGACTTAAAATTTGTAGGCTGACTTATATATATTACATGGTATAAATTGTCACTGTATGATAATCAGTGGACTGATTTTGCGGGGTTTATATGGAAACTTATAGTTTAGTCTGGTTTACCAAAAACCTGTTGTTTTTGCTGAATGTTTCAAACATAATTTTTTCAGGGACATGTTTTACGTATTTCTATGCTCTTGTTATGCAATATCAGTAAAACATGTTAGAAGAGCATAGTCCAAAACTGACATGGTGTATTGTATTTGCTGAAGATCTAGGTGCTTTTGAATCTTCCACTAGATGTAGCAATTCTAGTAATAAAGAAGTGGCAATAAAGGATTCATGTAGCTGAGATTTGAAATATTTTTTGAGAAGAAAACTTTATTGTTATTGCTTAAATTATTTCTTATACAATCATAACTAGATGAGTTGCATCTCCATGTTCTTCTAGTTTGTGTGCATTAATTCTTCAGTCTCTTTAGTAGTTCTCATGACTCATAATGTGCAGCATTCCTGGCCGTACGGAGTCATTTTGGAAGGAACTTGATTATGTCAAGAACACGTGGAAGCACAGGCAGGAGCTGAAGGTTGAGGATGCTGGCATTGCTGCTTTATTCGGCCTCGAATGTTTTGCATGGTTTTGTGCGGGTGAAATTGTTGGAAGAGGATTTACATTCACTGGTTACTATCCCTGAAAACCGTCAGCCGGGCAAAAAAAATGTTTGTTCCAGTCGATCTTCATTATCGTCATTGCGGTTATTCGAGTTGACATTCTACGTTCAAGATTTTGTTTTCATACAAAGTTTTTGAAGCTGAGAAATCAGCTGTGTTAAATTCTATTGTCTCAATAATTAGCATATTCGACATCTAAAACCCTTCTTTAGTGAAGTGGCTTAGGTAAATGAGTTTGATAATGGAACTGTATTTCCCCTGGAAGATACTACTACCTGTGACATTGTCCTATCGTAAGATTGATTCGTCTGGTTTTCTTTGGAATTTGCTTAGTACATGTCCGTAGACCCACTGAGTTAATGAAAGCAGCAGGTGTCAGTTTTGAAATTTCGAAGAGTTACAACTGAAAATAGCAGGCTTTGGATTTCATTCTCCCTTCCTTCTTCCTCTTTTATATTATTATTATTATTATTATTATTATTTTTTTTTTTTTGGGTGTCGAGTGCAATACGAAGCTTCCATTAAAGTTTCCAACAATTGACAATGACCAAATTTTGGTTTTTTGAGTGCAACTGGAAAATCGATTGAAGTTTCATTTGAGTTACAATCGACGAATTTTTTGGTGTCATAAGTGCAATTTGAAATTGCAAATTAAAGTTTCAATTATCGTTAATATTTTGAATTCTACATTTTGAGTGAAATTCGATGTTTCAATGATGTCACCTCTCAGTTACAATTGAAAGTAGCGGGGTTCATTTTTTGGATTATGTTATTTGTACATAAAAATGGTACATAAGGAATTAAATAGAATAGTGTGGAGGGACAAATTAGATTTAAAAAAAAGGTGGAGGGATAAATTATGTTATTTTTTTATTTTTTCAAATTAAGTCGGTATTCTTGAATCTCTTTCAAAAGTCAAAATTAATAAAAATGAAAAGATGTCAAAAATAATAATACCACATACCATATTGGTCTCGTAAAGTCCAATTTAGTTCCACTAGGTCCAACACGGAGTGGGCGACTCTGAATCTGGTTCTAACACGAAGCCCATTCAACCGTATAAAAATAAAATTACAGGAAAACCCTAATCCTAACCCTAGATCAAGATTCATATTTCGCTCCAGCAGTTTAGCTCGCTCGCTCTCTCTCAAAGTCACTCAGAGAAGTCAACTATGGGTAATTTACCGAAGCCAAGAATTACACTCTGTTTAATTTTTAGTTAATGTACTGATTAACGATTTATTCTGATTTGATTTGAAATTTGCAGGTAAGGTTCACGGATCATTGGCACGTGCCGGTAAAGTGAGAGGGCAAACACCGAAGGTGGCCAAGCAGGACAAGAAGAAGAAGCCCCGCGGTCGTGCTCACAAGCGGATGCAATACAACCGCCGCTTCGTCACCGCCGGTAAACTAAGTTCTACAGACCCATTTTCTTTTATCCCGTTTATTAATTGATAATTGTTGCTTCAGGTGTTATATTGCTTAGATATATTTTTGTGTTTTTTAGAATTAAAAAAAAAAAATGAAATTGGTAATTGTTTTCTCCTGATCTTGGTAGAAACTATTTTACTACTGAAGAAAAGGTATCTTGCTGTTTTGTTACCAATGGGAAGGTGTTAAATAGTATAATTTCCTATTTTGGAAGTAAATCATTATCCATAACTTGATTCTGTAAGACATATATTGGCTCACTGAATGTTGTCTCTTTGAAAACTTTAGTAACTGTTAATTGTGGTATAATGTTTTATTGAAAAAAGTGTACACTTCTTTCAGCCTCATTCTTTCCTCATTAAAATGAAAAATATGACTGTTATCCATCACATCAAGCTACAAAATTTGAATTTCTATCTTTTGAGTGGGTCCGTAACGACTATATTTTTCATTTTCATTCTTAAAAAAATGAGAAACAAATGGGGGCTCGGTGTGGATACAACATGATGAATATTGAATTGGACAAAAGCATAATGTTAGCCAAATCAGCCTTGTTCATTTAGATTCTAAGGACAAAATTTATTTTAGTGACAAAACGTTTCTAAATATTGACATATTAAAGTTAAGGGACAATTTGTTAATATGGCTATAAGTTCAATGACCATTTAGGTTTATAACACTATCTTTATTTATTATTATTATTATTATTTTTTTTTGAAAAAATGAAAACTGAAAATTGGTTTAATGAATGTGTCGATGTCAAAGCAGCTGGTTATTAAGAGCTTTGGTACTTCCGAAAAAATTTCTTGATAATTTGTTACTCATTAAAAGTGTTAAATAGTTGGGTTTTGCTAAGTGTCAACTGACACCTCGGTGTGCAGCCCCCCTCACAAGGAGAGAAAAGAGGGGGGGGGGGGGGCCACT